AGACAATATAATGTGATAATTCATATATATGATCGGCAAATGATCGACATTGTGATATAAGCATGACCGCTATGCTACACCCTACACGTATTACCGAGTTTTAGCTTGTACGATGTATGTATTTGAATAAAAATAATAGGTTTATTAGGAGAAGAAAAATAACAAGTAAAGGAGAACCAATAATTTTCAAGAGCAAAAATGATGTATAAAAAATAAATAAGGTTCGTAAATTAAATTACATTTATGAAAATTAATTGTTCTATCAAGGAATCACTCCAGCATAAGCTTAAAGTCTCCTTCCGAATTTAGAATAGTAACCTCTATTTATGATCCGGAAAAGTTCAACAGATTTTCCTTTTACTAAAGGAACAGGTGAAAGTATTAGAAATAAAAAGGCTTATAGGAGAGAGAATATTGGACATGGACCAAATGGACCAATAAAAGCGTGGTCAATAAAATAAATGCATTAATAAAAATTTTGTATCTTATTTTCTGTGAATATAATTAGGATAAAGATTTTTTTGTTTCGGTTCGGTTTTTGTATACTTATTTATATATTTTTAAGGTTTGCTTATTTATTTATTTTTTTGTTATGATTTATGCGTCATATAGCTCAAAACCCCCTTGTTATTTATAAGAAAATTTTTTTAAAATCGGCATTGCTTTCTTTTCATATTAATTTCATATGATTTAATCATTTTATTATTTGTAATCTTTTCTACATTACTATAACAAGCCTTTTTAAAAAGTTTGTGTCCGATTTCATGCTATTTTAATGAATTCGATAGTTAGGCTTTAACTTTACGAAAGGAGCTAAAAATTAATAAGGCCAAGATTTTTTTTTATTATAAAAAAATTTTTAGGTCATCCTTTTCTGTTTCTCCCTTTTAGAAATGATCGTAATTTTAATTAAAATTAAAAAACCGAAATTTTCTAAAGATATTTAATTTAAATATTTTTTTACATTTACAACGATTCGCACTGTTACAATTTAACTTAAACCATGTTTTTATGATAAGTATCCTTTAATATTAAGAATTTAATTGATGAATGCTACTGAACTTTTTATTGTTGATTTTTTTGATACAAAGTAAAAGTCTCGGTGTATTTAAAATAATTAAACTTTGAGCTAAAATTCTAATAGTTATAGAGCTTGGCCAAATTAATGATACCGCAGTATCTGTTCACGGACTACCTCTGCGTACCCATCAATAAATGTCACGAAATGGCCGACATTAAGGATCGGCAACATGCATGATCATGCATATGGGCCTGCAAAAGTCTTAATGCGGGCCGACGTGACATTTGTTGATGGGTACGCAGGGGAAGTCCTGTTCACGTTATCACATTTGTTTTGTTCCACTGCATTTTTCGGAGTATATTTCCCGTTGATCCAATTTTGGTCATGATATTTCCTTTTATATCCCTATTAAAATATTTAAATATTACAAATCATTCCAAGATTTTTTTAATAATGGATAAATTAAACGAATTCCACAAATTAAATGTCTCAGAAAATAATAAATGTTCTTATTGTGATAAGCCATATACAGAGAAATTATGGTGTAAAGAATGTGATCCTCGGTGTTTAATTGAAGGATGGACTAGTGGAAATTCTGATATTGATAAATTCATCAAAGATACTATGTATGAAGCAAGAGATAAAGATTGGGAATCATTTCTTGAATGGGTGCCATTTGATAGATTCACAGATATGAAAGAAATTGGTGAAGGAGGATTTGCCAAAGTATATTCTGCAACATGGATCGATGGTAAATCGGAATTTCAAGAGCAAGATGATGGAAGTTGGAAAAAATCAGATCCTTCATCTATGAAAGTTGCGTTGAAAAGGTTAAAAGGATCACATGATATGTCGGTTGAATATTTTAATGAGGTATTTACATTTACATTTGATATTTAATAAATAGAATATTTCTAATTTTCTTAAACTTCTTTTGTTGAAAAAAATCAGCTTAAAACACATTGGGATATATATAAAAACTATTCATATTCATTAGAATTTTATGGAATAACTAAGGATCCAGAAACCAAAGAATTTATCATGATCGTAAAATTGTTATCTGACGGAAATATGAGAAGTTATTTTTCAAATAATTTTAACAATATATTATGGAAAGAAAAAATTTACAAATTATATGATGTAATTTGTAACCTCAAATCGTTACATGATTTAGGATATTGTCATAAGGATTTTCATAGTGGAAATATCTTGCAAGATTATAATTATGCTTATATTTCAGATTTTGGATTAACAGGACCAGCAGATAAGCAAGGAACGAATGACAAAATATATGGAGTATTACCATATATCGCTCCAGAAGTCTTGAATGGAGGAACATGTACCTTAGCTTCTGATATTTACAGTTTAGGTGTAATTATGGCTGAATTTTCAACCGGAAACCCTCCATTTTATGATAGGAAACATGATCATTTATTATCTTTAGATGTTTGTAATGGACTTCGTCCAGAATTTGGAAAAGGAACTCCTGAATTTTATAAGAAATTAGCTT